TTACTTTACAGGAATGTTGTCTTTTTTTAATGAACCATTTAAACAAATTGCTTTAATGTTTTTATTTTATTTTCTAAGAAATCCTTACCAAAAAGAATCGTCCCTGGTTTTGTGTTTGGGGTTGTTTTTTTTTCTTTTTGTAAAGAGAACTTGAACCCTTCTGGTTGCTCATAGTGCTTAATGATTGAGGTCAGAAATACAATCCTGATGCATCTTTCCTAACCACCCTGGCTGGGAGGGTGACGTATGTAACAGGAGCACATCCAGTTGGGACCTGCTGATGCCTTATTTGGAACCTTTTTGGTTCGGTATTTTATGCCTTTTATTTTTCTAGACCACTATTTTTAATAGTTCAGGATGTCTAGTTGTCCTCTGTGCACGTGACAATTCTCTGAGCCTAGGGTGGTCTCTACATCCACCTCTCTGGGACACTACTAAAGGCCTTTTCTGGGCCTCTGTATGGAGGAGACAGTCATCCTTTGAGCCAAATTATGCTCTCGATTAATTCAGTACCTCTGATTAAAGTCTGTTCCTGTACCTGGAGATGTTTAGGACTTTGTCCTTGTAAACCAAGAACAGAACTGGGTCCTTGATGAAGTTTACAGAAGCATATTTTAGCAGCTTAGGGCAGCGTGGAGTACTGTTCAGTGGCAAATGAATGAAGGTTCATTATCACCGCTCACAGCTGGTTGATTTGTGGAAGGATAGAGCAGAACGCACAGGAAAACGGAGTCTTCCTGCCTAAATTTCCCATGTGTAGCAGGACACTCATATGGTATCTTGGGCTTGGTGTATAGGTGGTTTGCATGGTTCTGATGTCAAAATGCAAGCCGTCTCTCTGTGTTTTAGACACCGAAATAAAGAGCTGTTATACCAGAGTTGGTGGTAATTTGATTCTTAAAGTAACTTATTTTGTGGACAATGGGGCAGATCATGGTCAGACTAACTTCTGGTGCAATTTCCTCCCTACAAGAGCCCTTTTCACCCAGGCCAAGTTCACCCCTCTGCAACTGATTTCTTTTTGCTTAAAATATGTTGTTTGAAATGAACCAGATTATCTGATTAACACTTAATAGCTTCAGTGCTTGCCTCAACAGAGTCTGTCCTGAATTTGCACGTCTAAAACCTGTGCCTCTAAACACAGCTCCATTTTATTTTATTTTATTTTTACGTCTTCAGACCTTTCCTGTCCTGCACATCTCTTCTGTTCATTCTGAAGCACTTGTACTGACTAAACTATCTGCCAACAACTTGCTGGAAACACTGGAATATCTCTTCCCGCAAGCCTGGTGCTGCAGAAGCTATTTACAAAGCCCTAGTTCTTGCCATGGGCTGTTTTCAGCTCTTGGGCTCCTAACATAATCCTAGAAAACAGAAAGCAATTGAGCACAGCTTAGTGCCCAAGTGCCTTCTCACTCGGTGTGCTGCTGGAAATGAGATTAGCAGGAGTGAACATTGCTGTTGACTCTCCTCTCACTGAAATCAAACAGCTCCTTCTCAAAAAGCCAATAAAACCATTACTGCACCATTACTTTCTGGCCCTGGACCAGCTGTGATCTCACTCAGCGTTGTGCTCAGCAGGAGCTTCTTAGATCTAAGGCTGAGGGTGGCAGCTCTGATTCTTGAGCTGCTCTGGGTGTTTGGGGTGCAGGTAGCACCTGTGGGTGCTTTTGCAACAGATTCCCCTGCTGAGGTGGGACTTTGAGTGGGTCTTGGGCTGTGGGTTATATGTACAGTGTGATTGTCCCACACAGATGGAATGAAATTAAAAATCCTTAAAATGCTGGAGAAAATTTCGTGTCTGAACCCTTGTGCAAACTCCCCCAGCCCACATTTGCAGAGTCAGTAGATGGGTTTTTGAGTTAAAGGTCCTTTCCCTTGGAGGCTGCCAGGTTCCCTGACCTGTCATCACCATCCATATCTTCATCTGCCAGCATGTGTGGGGCACAGTTAGGTGAGGTGCAGGGAGTCCATCCCCTCCTGGGGTGGCTTTGGCATGTCATGGCTCTGCCCTGTCACCAACACAGCCTGCTGATGCTGATACTTAGCTGCCTAGCCATGAGCATGTTTGATGAGAGTTAAGTGTACAGGCAGCAGAGGTAGTTCTAGTCCGTGGTTCTTGCTTTTCTAGACTGTCACCATCATTATGCGTGTGTTTGGAGAGGTAACAGTTTATAGATGAGCATGCCATGGTAGATCTGCAGATAAGGGCAGACATCGCAGCTACCTGTGACTTCCTTGAGTAGGGACAGCTCAGTTGTGGCCATCACTGTTCCCAACACCTCCTGGGCTTGAGTTTGTTGCAGTGCATTTTACCACCTTGGCTGTTTTCATTGTGGTATTGGCTTTTTTCATTTTTTTCAAGGTGTTTTTCAAAAAAGCCTTCAGAAGCTTTTAGAAACAGGGCTGACAGTTCTATCCCACCCTGCTCTACTGCAGCTTGGGAAGAAAAGCAGGGACATATTTTTAGAAGATGGCACTGGGGGGAAAATGATATCAAAAGCAAGTGGAGGGAGATGTCCTTTAAAAGGACAGCCTGATTGTGGCTATTTAGGGTGCGTTCAGCAGTGGGTCCTGTTACTTGATGTGATCCAGCCCCTGCATGTTGCCTTTCAGACCATGCACAGAGGGTAAGGCACAGCTGATTTACCATCAGTGCTGAATTATGGATTAACTTGGCCCTGGAGAAAACAAACATTTCAAGAAAGAGCAACAGCAGCACTAAAATTAATGAGCAAGAGAGGTAATGAAACACTAGTGCCATTAAAAAAAAGGAATATAGTAAGAGAATGCTTTGGATTCAATTTAATCAACCCTTGGTTAATAGGTTAAATAATTAAGAGGAATTAATTAAACTAACTAGAAAGAAATACTTTGTTTAGTTAAACTGAATCACCTTGTTCCACTTTATACAGCAAGTATTACTGTCTGTCATGTTATTATTGTCAGTGTAGGATGGGATTTATGATCTCACATAATTATTGTTCTGAGACATGTGACATAAAAAAGAGGTGAAAATAATTAAGCAGGCAGCAGAGAGGATGTGTGCTCTGTGTACTAAACCAGATGATTAGAGCTAAAGTGGTAAGGAGAAAATAAGCATATTATACCAGTGATAGAAATTAACTGTAATGAATATTAGTAAGCTGTGATGAGTATTAATACCTTTTAAACATAAATCCAGATCCATTTTTTAAACATGTGGATTTAACAAAAAATTGTGTAATGACACTGGCTTTGGTCCAGCTGCACCAGGAAAGGAGGTAAAGGACAGATATCCTCATTTTCAAAGTAATTTTTCAAATTTATCAAGCCTTATGAATCCTCCAAAATGTCTTTGCAGTTTTATTTCACTCAGTACATCAGAAAAAGATGATTAATTTCAGCTTGAAGATGAACTTAAAGACGGATAAACTGCCAGGGTTTTGTACCAAAAACTTCTAAAGTTTATTCATTTCTCCTTCCAGTAACTTAAATGGGAGTAGTATCATCCCTGTAACTCCATAACCCTGGTAACTGATACCAGGTGTTTATGGGTTTCAGATCACTAGACTTTCCTGTTTGTATTTTTACAGCTACTGAAACAAACATCTTTTAAATTCCTTAATTACACTTGTAGCCTTTTGAAAATCGTATCAGATCATTGACGTAAATGTAGTGAGCAAAACAGCAAATGTTCAGTGACATGAGTGTGACTATAGGAAATTACATAAACTACTCTTTCGAATGAAAACAGAAGACTTTGTAGAAGAATGTCTTAGTGTAAGATAAAATTGATCAAGTTAGAAAGTGAAATGCTAACAAGAAGGTGAAATTTTCTTCTGCATAAGAAAAAAGAGACTATAAAGCCAAATATCTCAGATCTGTAAACCTCCCAACACTTTAATACCCAAATTTGCTTAGTGTGTTGAATTAGAATATTCTTAATCACCCTAAATTCAAAGCTAATATCATGCCATGTTGTTACAAATACATACACATAAATTTGATCATGCAAAAAAAATCACAGAAGTTAAAGTGCTTGCTGACTGGAATGGTCCTTTCATTGTGCACCAAACTCTCAATTCCCTCATGGTGGTCTTCCAGTGGAGGATTTATTAAAGTAAACACTACATCAAGTATCCTTTCTACTTATAAATGTCTCACAGGTTTGTGTAATCTCTTACTGAAGCTATTACTGGACTGCCTTAAAGATCAAAATCATTAATTACACATTAATTCCCTTAAAACATTTTCAAAGCCTTAATTTCAGCACCTTGCAAGTTATTTGCCTGGCACAGTGCACTGTCTTCTTGCAATCAGTATTTAATAACCCACACAGTTTAATCCCAATGTAATGTATTTGGCAGTGACAAATTAAATTGAAAAACCCTGCTGTAAATCTAGATGGTACACTGGGATGCTTTTCTTACTATCTTAATTTATTGCTGAAAAAAAAAAAAGACAGTCCTGCCTTCCTCTAACACTTAAATGAGTGTTATTTTTCAACGGGGAGATTATCATTCTCTCCTTTTATTTATAGCTTAGTGAGGGCTGGACCAGATCAGTGAAGAGTCAGCTTGTAACTAATGTATCAAAATCTTATATAATTGGAGGGTTAGCACATACAGTTTTTGTCTACTGAGATGGTCATTTGGCTTCAGGATATGATCCACTGTATAAGCATCTTGGGAAAACTCATCCACTTTACTGCAGACCCCCACTTTTTTGGCAGGTTGCTTGCAGGTTTCCCTGCAGGTCAGCTGTGAGCACAAGGCTCCCATGGTTGTGGTTTCTCATTTAAGAAAAGTTTCTTGCATCCCTGTTTGAGAGCTCAAGCAACACATGCTGACTCTGGCCAGGACTTCAAGGTCTGCACTGTGTGTTTTTGCTCAGGCTCTACATTTTTCCCGCAGATTTGCTGATGTGACTCACCCTGGCTATCTACAGCCTTTCCAAGCATGCCAGCACTCAAGCCTCCTCCCTGGGCTCTCA